TAAGATTTGATATTCAGCCTCCAGGTGTGCATGGTTGTCGCGTACGGGCCCTTCAAAGGTTTTAGGGGAAAATTGCTAACTCTAAAACAAGGAAGACTGGGAAGCTGGAATTTTAACGGGATCTTTCCTGTTCAAGTAAAGCGTTGCTGCACAATTAATTTCCTAAAATTCGAGTCCAGTGTGTCACGAATTGTGGCTATTGGGATTGTACTACAGCACGAAACACTGCAAAAACATATGATTGCACGGGCCCGCCTGGTGCGGTCCGCCGATGAGTCAACAAATCCTTCCCACGACTCGCTCATTCGTCTAGATGGTAAATTGATATTGATAAACGCCAGGAAAATAAACCCACCGTCAACTTGTTTCTAAACAACTCTCGAAACAGAAGCCATCGACAGTCTTGAAATAGGGGGCCATCGACAGCCCTGAATGGTTGCAGTTGGCCACTGCTACCCTTAAAATGCCCCCGGAGCGTATCGGTCTTTCAAAGGCAGTCAGTAAGCTTGGTAAAGATGGGAAGGAGAGGGCGAGTGAGGGGAGAAGTAGAAATGAAGCAGTCTTTCTCTCAACAGTAATGACTCCACAGATTTAAAGAGTCGGAGAAGTAAATCTTCAAATTTAGCTGCATTTTAATTTTTCTTCAAATGTTCTGTGCTCCAACGATAATAATTTAAGCAAAACCAATCCATTCTGAAATGATACCACTAAATCCATACCCTTTTTAAAAACAAATTGATAACATTTCGAATAGAAAAATACGCTCATCCTGAGTCAGCAAAACATCACTAGAGCATATTGTAGTACTATCTGCTTCGGGCAAATACTTTGCTGGGTAATGCAAGGAAGCGCAACAATGGAACCAGGTGCCTTATTTTCACTAGACGAACTTTTGGTTTTTTTACAAAACTTTTTAAAGGTACCAATAATGCTGATGCTTTTTATTTTGATAGCATTTCAAATTGGTAGCATTTCGAATAGCAAAATATGCTCATCCTGAGTAGTGCTGTTGATTTCACACCTCCACACCAATAAATTTTCTGTTTTCCAGAAGAAACTAAAGCTCGGCTTTAAAAACACCACAGACTGGTAATCTGTCACTGTGGCTTTTCATATAATTTGTTGCAAATTAAGCTGTAGCATTGTTCCAGGAAGCAAATGAGTGGGTGAGCAATATGACGCATGAAATGATCACTTCAGTTATTCAAGCGAGCGAAATTTCAACGGAATCACACCTGATGTTGCTCAATGCAGTTTATTTCAAAGGTGCATGGAAAGAAAAATTCGATGAAAAATGGACTGAGCCCAATCAGTTCTACACTGACTTGCACCAACGGATAGAGGTAACACACACCTAAGAGTATAATGAGTAGCACTTGTTACCTACCTCAGGTACGCGTGGTACTCTCCAAAGACCATCTAAGATCGATTATTGACTCGAAAAGCACGCTCAACGATGTGTTGCGCCTACCGGTTGGCCAGCAGAGCAAGCAACAGGTCTGCTCATCGGATTTTACTTTCTTGCAATGCTGGAACAACATTCTGTATGGCCTCAATAAGCCGAGGAACTGGCTGCTTTTAGTGAAAAAGAATACAGTGGAAAATTGCATGACCATAGTGAAAAAGAATGTAGTGAAAAATATAGTGCAAGAATAAAGTGAAAAGTTCCAGATACCAATGATGGCAACGTTTGGATATTTTCCGATTTTCGAGGATGATGAGGTGCAAGTGCTAGCGATGCCATATGAAGGCGATGAAAATATGAATATGTACATCATTTTACCGCGAAAACACTCCAGTCTAGAGGATGTTGAACGCAGTCTGAATGGTTCAAAGATGATGCACTACTTTCAAAATTGCAAAGCATCAAAGGAATTTTATGTAAGCCATTAATTTCGAAAAATAACTGTTAAGCAAAATTTTTTGCACGTGATATTCAAGAAATGCTTGGGCTGTTGTAAACGAAAAAATGTAAATTCATCGGGACTGGAAGCCGCCCCATATGAATTCTTCAAAATATGCATAAAGCTGGTGCTACCTTTAATTGCTAGCTGAGTAGGTGAGAAAGGTACAGTGGCTCCCAATCTGACATCATTTAGTGCTTACCTTTCCCCAGTTAGTAATATTGGCGATTCTCCATCGTCAACCCAGATGGCTTGAAAAACAATTATCGCCGGTAGCACCCATAAATACTAGGCATTATGTATTTTTTCACATAAAAATAGTTCTAAAATACCCTCTCTGCATGCCATATTGCTTGGATCCCGAAAACGATCTTCCAAGCGGTATGGCACCTTTAACATAATCTGGGAGTTAAAACGCTGGGGGACGAAACGATATTACACAACATGCACCGTTGAATCTGTGCTAAAGCGTTGACAAAGTGTCCTTTTAGGCGAGCCACTGAGCGGGAAATCCCTTCAGGAGAAAAAAGGTACGTAAAGACAGCCAAAAAGTAGGCTGCCTGGCGATGCAGCGTTGACTGAAAAAAAAAAGCATGAAATGAAGAGGAAAGGCAAAGATCCTAAGCAACCTTCAGAAATCGCTGCAGTGACGTTGATGAGGCCTGGTGATGAGGAAAGCCATTTCAATAAGGCCTGATTTTCATACAAATGCGAAATATTGTGCATTAGGAAACGCGATGATTTTGTTCTCTTTTCTCACTGTTATGGGCAACATTTGATAGAAAAGCTTACTAGACTGCCTTACCAAAGAGCTGCTTCTGTTGGCTCTTGCTACCCATTCGAACTCCTTCCAGGCCTCCAATTCTCATGAGAAGCGAGGGGGGAAGGGGAAGACGGCTTATTTCCCTTGTCGCCCAGCACGCTGCTTTCAGTACTAACTTTCTGTGAAAAGAAGAGTATCACATTTACCAACCTTCATTTCGAACAATTTTAAGGTGCGAATGCCTAAGTTCGCATTGGAAAGCGAACTGGATCTGGTTGATGTACTTGAAAGTATGGGAATTATAAAGGCATTCGCCGGAATAGCTGATTTTACCGGCATGGCATTTTACTGGCCACTCTTCATCAAGCAAGCGAAGCACAAGGCCGTTATTGAGGTTGTAAATTTTTGCAAATACCTTCGAACATCAATGTTTTGCATAGTATTTGTGGTCCTTATAAACCAGAGCCTGTGGACACGTGAGTGCCAATTTATATGTGCGTACTTTATCCGGACAACTAAATTTAATAAGAGTGTGAGTTACAGATTTGGCAAATTCATGATCACAAGCAGAAAACCGTCCATTAGGCGTTTCTATGCTTTGGCTTTCGGCTTTGGATCAAAAATTTGAACAATTTTGTCAGCCCTCTTGATCCATCTTTATTCACGTATATACATTTTAACTCGGTATAACATTTCAGGTGAATGAAGAGGGGGGAGAAGCAGTAGTAGCAGCAGCAGCAGCAGCAGTGGATGAGGTACGCAATTCGAAATTCATCGCCGATCACCCATTTCTGTTTGTAATTGCCAAAGATGAGAAAGATATCTTCTTTATTGGTCGCTTTGCTGGCTAGAAAATTGTTGGCTTTTCTTATTCGTTTATCTAGGTTGATACAGTTCGATTTGTTTTTTCGGATTGTATGATTAGAGTAGATAATAAATGATTTTGTACTGATGCACAGCATTGCGACCATGCGAGAAAGTAAAGTCCGATGCACTTGTTCCTTGTCTTGACGACAACCGGTTAACAATGAGCATTAGTGAATGCTGCCCCCATGAAAGCACAACTCTCGAGGAGTGGCGCACATACATCGAAGAGGCTAAACGCATGCACCTTAGAAAAAAATGGTTTTGCATAGATGTACTTGTCGCAAGGAACAGCCTAGAGATGACACTAATAGGGGTACCCACATTAGTGGCCCAAGCGGTCTTGTTATCTTGCTAT